ATGAGAAGGTGTGTCTAAACTTTTGACTGGTAGTGTACGCATTGGCTGCCTGAGCAGGATTACTAAGATATTATTAAAATCACAATATGGCTAAGTGCAATATGCAATTAAGAGAAGGTACAAGTTAAAATGTGACAATTTTCATAGCAGTTCTATACTTTACTCTGTATAATAAAGGGGGATTAGGAAACATATATTAGTGGAATTGTATTAAATGTAAGGAGGACAGGGGGACAACACATTCATTGTGCCTCCTTCCGTAATGCAGTGAGAAAAGGAAGATATTTTCCATCTCTATCAGTGCTGCAGAAGACAATGAAGTGTTCTTTCTGTGGAAGAAATAATAAATAAAGATGACAAACCCAGGGACTTTGTAAAGATTTCCAGCCACAGAAACTGTTTGTTTCAATGTAAAATGGGCAACTTACATAACCTGTTCACCATGGATCATTTTAGATTTATTTCTTCCTTTTGATGGGTTCTATAATTTCTTTTACTTTGTATATTTTGTTGCCATTCATATATAAATTTCCTTCCTGGTTGTGTTTTGTGTGACTGATGGTGCGGATACTCTGGAGGAGTATAGAAAATGAGGTAACCGATGTTTTACTTGGTTGCCCCACAGGTTGAGGACTACGAGGTTGGAGAGCAGAGCCAGCTGAGGAGGAAGAACCTTCAGACTGTTGAGAGACAAATTCAGCTTCTCCAACTCCAAAAGTTCCCACAACTCATCTGGGACCTCCTGCAGGAAAAGGAAGAGCAAGAAAAAGAGGCAGTGGGAATGGAAAGATCATGAGAAGATTCAGACATCAGTTTGACTTTTCCAAAGAACAGATGTATACCCTACCTTGGAGATGTAGAGAAATATATTTTGTAGATTTTTGTCTGAGACAAAAAGGAATCTTTTTCAGTGGGCCTCATGCAAGAACCATGTGTGAGAACATCTTCGTTCTTCAGTGGTTTGGCTTGTGATTGAGGATAACATTTACAAATATTCTTCTATCAAACACACATTTTTCAATAAAAGATTGTATATTGTATTACTATTATTTTGAGTTTCCTATTTAAATAACACTTTATAATTACATTGACATCATCTTGTTTGATTGTACAGTTCAAATAATAATATAGCCTAGTTATATGTAATGTATCATCCAGCCTAACGATACTGTAAATGGCCTTGATGGGGTTAGAGTTCTCTTAAGTCATTTTGCTAATAAGAAAGATTGCACCCCCCATATTATATCACAATATCTGTCTAAATAATCACAATATTATATATTTTTTTTACCATCAGGTCAAACTCTCCTTGTTCTTGACACCTTGGACCCAATATTCCTATTTGATTTTCTTCTTTTAGTAAGAGCACCACAAGGTTTCTATGCATAACTATTTTTATTAGATGAAGGATAAAAAAACATATATATATAAATACAGACCTGCTGTGTAAAGGCCTTTACTGCCAGAAGTCAAACAGCAGCAGTTCAGTGACGATGTGCAAACTCTACTGGCGTAGAGTATTCTCACATGTCTTTTTATAAAATAGGGTATTGGTCCTTTGCTTGACAGATTGCTTTAAACTAAAATTTGGTCCATAAATTAAGAGTTTACCCACTTTTTTAGGCACCACTACAGCACTGACACACTCAACTCAAATACGGTACTGTCCAAGGTTGTGATATGCATGTATTTGTCAAAACTGCACGTTGATACAGCTACTGATGCTAATGGAGAGGACTTCAATCTTGTCTTTTAGAACTATGTGATTTTTAATTTATTTATTGGTTGTCTGTTCAATAAAGAACAATAAAGAACATCTAATCACACCTAATCTGTCTCACAATATATCGTCATGTTCCTCATGCATATGATAACACACTGAGCAAGGAGCTACATCCTCCACATCTCCGGCTGTCCGTCTACTCAGAAGTGAACTCTGTTAGGTCTACGAATCCATTGGCATGAATTGTACATTACAGATACCTAAAAGAGTGGTGGCCATCTTGTTTACACTGGAAACAATGGAGTTAGCGTTAGCAGCAAGCGCTCCTGATGCATTCGCTGTCCTACCTTAAGTCCTCGGCGAGCCAGACTCAGAACGTTATATCCAAACTGTTTGACGGTGAACCGACGGATTCTGTCTGCTGACGTCAGACTGTCCTCCCTCCCTACGCTCCTTTTCTTTTCCTCATTCACTTCCTCCTTACACACTGTTCCTCCCATCCCTTCCTCCTTCTGCTGCCTCCTGTGTCTCCTGCTTTCTTCCTCCTCCTCCTCTTCCTCCCAGCAGACCCTCTCAGTTGCCCTCTCCTCCTCGTCTTCCAGTTCTTTGTTGCTCCAAACCAAGAACAGATGACCAAAGTAATGCAACTGTCTCAATTCTACTGTCTGATGGGATTCTGATATCCAGACGTTATTTTATTGTTTGGATGCCCAGATCTACCGTCCACATGCTAATCTGATGTCCAGATGTTGTTCTACAGACAGATTCTATTGTTCAGATGTTCTCCAGATGTTTTCCAGGTGTCCACACTCTGAGTTTGTTGTCTTTGATTCAGGTGAACTCCTGCAGGTTTAAAATGAAGACTCTTTTACAGACACATATTTTACAACGCAACGTCAAAGATCAAGAGCACAATTCAAGTCTGAATACGACGAAATAAAATAAATAAATGAAAGTGTTACAGTTGGCTGATAGCTGACTGTTTCTGTCCACTCACAACACACAACAATCATCACCTTTCAAGTTTATGTTTAACTTAACAGCTGCTAATTTGCACATCCAGCAGTTATAGAGCAACGTGATCATCCCATTCATCATACATTATATTTAGAATTTGGTTAAAGCTACATGAATTTATTATGTAATCATATTTTTTGTTTATATAGTAAATTACAATTCTGTACAGACTGAAAACATGAATGTGACAGGTAGAAGAAATTTTTATTTCTTCTGGTATGGTATATGCTATGAATATTACGTTACATTTGCGACAATAGATCCTCCTCAATTTTACACACTGGACCTTTAAAATAGGCCAAGATTAAATTAAATTATGTTATTAATATAACTGAAGGTCATGTAATTGGATTCAGTGAACTGGCATAGGGTTTAATTGACATCAGTGCCCAGCTGGCTGTGTGGAAGCAGCAGCAGCGTAATGAGTAGCGACAGTTGTTGATTCAGCCAAATGATTAATTATAATTTTAAATTATGTTTCTACATGTTACACTTTAATTGTAGTAAAAATAAAAAATATATAAATATGACTGTGTAATAATTGCTGTACCCAACATTTTAGAAATACCAACAATTTGACTTTCCTTTAACTTTTATTGTATACCTCTTGGAAAAAATATAGGTGACCTCAATGGTGGGAACCGCCATTCTTACCAAAGGTCTCAATAGGAAGTAAGGGTACTCAGCCCACCTAGAGCCGGGGTCTGTCTGAGATTTCTGCTGCTTAAAAGAAAGGTTTTTCTTGCCTGTTGGACATCTGTAAATAATTTTATAAGG